TTGAGACATTAATGAAATATAAAGAAGATATAAAAGAAGATTTGAAAGTAGTGTCTAAAAGTTTGCCGATATGGATAACAATTGCAACGGCCTTGGATAATATCATGACGTCTAATGCTCTCTATACCTTTGTGTCGTGCAATAAATATGGAGTAAGAGACAAATTATCTGGTAGTCATCCTGTTATGGCATGCGATGAACAAGATATAGAAAACGAAGATAGAGAAGATATCTATCAAAGTACTAACAGAGAACAAAACACAGACCTATCAACATCGGTAATAGTAGACGATTCAAATGCGAATAAGTCAAATGTAAGTAACATAGATGGTGTATCAACGTTTATAATAACAATACCTAAGGAAGATTTTTCATCAATGATTATCCATAAAAGTTATCGTAGAAAAGAAAAAGACCGATCTGTGTCTACGCGAAAATATGCAATATTGCAACCTGGATTATGGCAACTGATATTTTGCGATAAGATATGGCAAGCCATAAAAATATCATGTGGATTCAATTTTAAACGTCACAAATTATTACGAAATGCAGAATCAGGGTACGCATATGGCACGTGTAAATGTGGATCTGTCATTAAATGTGTTATTGATAATTCAGAGGAATTCCTTACAAAATTAAAATGTACATTTATTGAGGGTGAAGGACGTTGCAGGAAACGTTATTTAAGAAACCCTGTAAGACAAGCCATTGCCGAGAAACTTCAAGAAACAACTGCGACAAAATATAGAGTAGAAATGGCAGAAAATTTAATGGAAGAAAGTGATAAAATAGAACCTCCACATTTATTTACAAATAATGTTTTAAGAGTTGCTAAACACGAAGTTATGCAGAACAATTATATCGACAAGGATCCATTAAAAGCATTGCACTTAATGCAATTAGGGTCACTCAAAAATATAATACATAGTATAGGATTAAATCCTTTTTTTGTGCATTATTGGTCCAACCATCAGTAACATATATATCGAACATATGCATTAGATAAAACATCTTGTGTATACAGGGTGCACGATTTATCTTAAGACATTGAAATATCTCGAGAACTATGTATTGGATAAAAAAAAGTGGTTGATGAAAGTTGTTAGTCTCGAAAGGGGACATCCAATGATACCAAACTCGACCTTCCACCCTACCCCCTGGGGGTGGGGGTTGGGGGCAACTTTGAAATCTTAAATGGAAACCCCCACTTTTTATTGCAGATACGGATTCTACGCCACAAAATACGTAAATTTTGTCCAAAACTTTTTTTTTTATTCGTGATACATGGTGCTGTAATCGCAAAAAATTATATTACACCATCTATGATCATTGGATTGAGAAATAAAAAATACCTGTTCAATATTTTTAAAGAACATAATAAAAGTTATTCCCCCCCATCCTCTCGGGGTAGGATGGGTGGTAACGTTCAAATCTCAAATGGGAACCCGAATCGAAGAGAGAACTGCTCGACGCGCCACTGTGGGTGTATGGCGAACTACGGCTTATTATAAAAGGCAAATTCTGCAATGAAAAATGTGGGTTCCCATTTGAGATTTGAACGTTATCACCCACCCTACCTCGAGAGGATGGGGGGGAATAATTTTTATTATGTTCTTTAAAAGTATTGAACAGATATTTTTATTTCTCAATCCAATGATCATTTCTGGAGAATTGCGGAAAATATAATTTTTTGCGATTACAGCGCCATCTATCACGAATCAAAAAAAAAGTTTTGGACAAAATTTACGTATTTTGTGGCGTAGAATCCGTATCTGCAATAAAAAATGGGGGTTTCGATTTAAGATTTCAAAGTTGTCCCCAACTCCCACCCCCAGGGGGTAGGATGGGAGGTCGAGTTTGGTATCATTGGATGTTCCCCTTCGAAACTAACAACTTTCATTAACCACTTTTTTTTATCCAATGCATAGTTCTCGAGATATTTCAATGTCTTCAGATAAATCGTGCACCCTGTATATTGATGCAACTGGAAGTATCATAAGAAAGATTAAAAGATCCGATAAAACAAAAACAAAACATTTTCTTGTACAATTGCGTAGTTAATTCTGGAAGGAGTGGTCTATTTCCAGTATGTCAAATGCTCTCAGAAAGTCATCACACAAATGCGATACATTATTGGTTGATGGAATGGATTCGATTTGGTGCACCTTGTCCACGCGAAGTGGTATGCGATGCCAGTCGGGCATTATTAACAGCAGCAGTATGTAGTTTCACAGGATATCTTACTATTGAAGATTATTGTGACGCTTGTCAGGAAAATAATATGCCTGTATGTTACATACGCTTGGATGTGGCACATTTTATAAAAACTTATATACAAATTTTTTGAAAAATATGCGACAACGCGTGAAAATATTTTATTTATCATTATTAGGAAAGTTAATTCTATGTTGTAGTATTGATGCAGCTGAAGAAATATTAAGAACAATATTGATAATTGCAAGAAGTGAAACAGAAGGCATGACAAGAAATAATACAGAAACATTATGTGAAATATATTGGGTGAGTGCAAAAGTTCGTGCGGAGTTTGTGAGTAAAAGTCACACAGTGATTAGGCAAACAAAAATCTTTATTCAATCAATGATATATTCTCCATCGTTTTCTATAATCTTTTCCCAACGTTCTGGCAGTATACGGATCCCTCGATCATAAAAACTGCGCGGTTTAGATTCGAAGAACGAAGAGACGCCGGTTTTTAAGGCCTCCAAAGAGTCAAAGTTTTTTCCATTTAAATAATTTTGCAATGACCGGAACAAGTGATAGTCAGATGGTGCGATATCAGGAGAATACGGTGGATGCGTTAAGACATCCCATTTCAGGCTCTTCAGTTTGCGCAGCGTCTTTTTCGAAACGTATGGTCTGGCGTTGTCGTGATGAAAGACGACTTCCTTGCGATTTGACAAAATCGGACGTTTCTCTTTTATTTCTCGATTCAGATTGGTTAATTGGCGACAATACAAGATAAAAGTGAAGGATCTGTTGTTATCCACAGATGAAGAATTACCTTTACACGAAGATTGTTTGGAAAAATCTAATGTAGATATTGAAGAAAATAACTATCGCAACAAATGGAGTCAGTGGGCTAAAGATATAGACGATCAAGTGCAGCAATAAATTGCTAATAATGAAGGAGATCGTGAAAATGCTCACTATTTGCTAATATTTGCAGATCACTTAATGAAAGACATAAAACTGATACCAATGTGGTCATGTATATGCAGAAACAAATTTGGATATGGAAGAATTCCGGCTAGTAGTGCTTCAGTGGAAAGCGATTTCAACATTATTAAGAATATTTTCTTGAAGACAGAACAAACACCAATTTGATACCGCGTGCATCCAAAAAAACTGTGGCCATGACCTTGTTGGCCGACAGACCCACCTTGGCCTTCTTTGGTGCACGTTCACCCGAAGAAACCCACTGTCTTGATTGTTCCTTGGTCTCTGGTGTGGTGTGATGGATCCATGTTTCGTCTACGGTAACGAAACGGCGCAAAAACTCGTTCCGATTGCGGCTGAACATCGCCAAACACTCCTTTGAAATGGTCACACGGTTGCGCTTCTAGTTGAGTGTGAGCAATCGCGGCACCCATCGCGCGGATAGCTTTTTCATGTCCAAATATTCATGTAAAATGTGATGTACCCGCTCAGTTGAGATGCCTACAGCCTCAGTCACTTCACGCACTTTCATTCTCCGATCATCCAATATCATTCCATAGATTTTATCGACGATTTCTGGCGTGACGACCTCTTTTGGGCGACCTGAACGTTCGGCGTCACTTGTGCTGGTACGACCACAACGGAACTCAGTAAACCACTTCTTAACCATTGAAATTGATGGTGCAGAGTCCCTATAATATTTATCAAGCTTTGCCTTGGTTTCGGTGATGGTTCTTTTACGCAAAAAATAATGCTTAATTAGCACACGAAATTCACTTTTTTCCATTTTCGTTAAAATTCACGAGGTTGTCTGCTTTCAATGGCTGTCAAACACTAACTAAATGGCGCAGCTTACCCAAACTTGTACAGTAGTCTATTAATAGATGGCAGTTGACGGGAGCAGTGCTGCATTTAAAGTTACTGCGCGGAAAATTCAAAAAGTCACTGACTTATCAAACTGCCCTCGTATATTTTTCTTTCGTTATTGGTAGTACATCGACGTGATCTTCGAACGCGGTGGCTACTTCCTTGATAATAAAATGAGCGTCATAACCTGATAAGTTATGAAAAACTATCGGAATATAATAGGAATCTGTATAATTTAAATTACAATTGAAATGTGCCGGACCCCTGTATTGTCCGGTTAAATGACAGTGATCGCGTACGCGTATATCCCCACTGCGAATAATTTTTCGCATATATGACAATGCGTTGCACTATAAAATGCTGCGCCTGTTCTTGTGATAATATTTCCATAGGGACATTATTACGCAGAATAATTTTTATACGATGCGCCAATTGTTTAAGTTCCTCGACGAACCACGAAATGCAATTTGGATCGCGACGACACTGATATGCGGATAATGATTCATCGTAGGAACATCGTACATAATAAGCTACACTATGTACTTTATGATGCTGATACACATACGGTTTTTTTTCTTCGTTTGGCGTTTTCTCTAGAATGCATTCCAGGTCAGCGTACACCACGAATGGAATCCGTTCCCTTCTGCTGTAATTAGTAAAACTGAGCCACTTGTTGGGCTCTGTTGGCAGGATGACTGCACAGTCATTCAACTTGTTGCAATCTATGATATGATTCTCCAGTTTTTCGTTGGAATAAAAATAATGCAAGCAACTGAAAAGAAATGGATATTACGAGTTATTCTTTTATTTCATATTTGTTATATTTATAGTGAATGTCTCCTTACCGATCGCATATATACTTCTTGCATTTTTTCTTCCTCAGTTGCATGTCCACAAGACGTGACAAATTCTTGATCCACACGAAATGTCCCATGTTGCACTCTTGTGAATCTTGCACATATAACAAATTTACATGCTTTTCCTTCTTACTGGCGAGACGTATCGGAACGATCGTACATGCTTCTTCTTGCTTCTTTTTATCTTAAGTGGTGTATACGTTGATGGATATGTTGTTTAGCTGTTCAAACTTGGTAATTTGTTTAAACGTCATTGGAAATTCAATATCCTGAAGATTGAATATTTTGGTGTAATGTGGGTACGAAGATTCCCGGTCTCCATTTCTTTCAGCTGGATATAATGCCGCGACCACGGACCATGCAAAACATGCGTTGTCTTTAGTTCGTACGTTTATCACGGCTTTCTTTAATTTTATTTCGCGAGGCAGCTCAATGTTGCACCCTGCATGCAGTGGATTGTATTTGTTCACATTGACTGTGAGATCAAGTATGCGCAGCAGTGCCCACCCACTTTCACGTTCTTGAAATTCTTCCAAAGATGCCAAGGTAGGCTTGATGACGCGTTGCTCGTACCATTTATCCAAATCTAAAGCAGAAAAGAGTTCACTGTTTCTCGTGTTAATGCTTTTGAATGCATGATTGTCGCCTGAGATAAACTCGCCATTGAACACAGTGTTCACCTTAAGATTGCCGTGCTTTTCCATAGCATTTCGCACGTGCTCGAGCACTGTACTCTTCGCATCTTGGAGAAATCAAAGTGGTTCGATATGGTTCACGTTAATAACTGCGCCGGTTGATATGCGGCTTTCGAACGCTGTATCAATTTCTCTCCATACCAATTCTGCATCTCTTGATGCGTGTCCAGCACCCACGTGTATGAAGCGTTCTTGCACAGAAATTTTCAGTCCTTCGAGTCGTGCAATACGAGCCACCACTGATTGCGCGGCGCCGATCGACAATCGCGGTCGTTTTGCTCGACTTTGTTTTTCCAAACATCTGATACATTTGTCAAACTTTTGCACCCACGCGTCGTAAGCCTCTCGCGAATTCAGACGAGTGGATTGCTCCAACAGTTCTCGTTCGGTTTGAGTGAAGTCTTCCATTTCTTTATTAACTACAGAGAATACTCGGATCTTTGGAATCCTTTACTTTATATTCTCTCCGTTAGAAAACACGTTCGGATATGCGCGAGTCAAATGACGACCGTGAAAGAAGGAGGGCGTAACTAGGCGATGGGACCTGCTTCTTATTTCGTCCCGAAGAGAGAAAAAATATCGCGTAAGTGCGGTAGTCGCTAGGCCGGGAATTAAACTCGGGTCTCTCGCAGGGGGGCTGCTCTAAACCCACTGAGCTACCTGACGCTCCATGGTCAAGACACTCTCCTCTCCCCTGATATCGTTAAAAGATGTCGTTCGGAAGCGACATCTCTAATGCCATCCCGAGTCTAACCAAAGATATCTACATCTCATTTACTTTCCTGTTTTGAGGAATATATCTGCGCATGCGCTACAACTCTGAAGAATAAGAGAAGGGGATGCCCTATAGTAGCTTTAATATTAGGCTTCGGAAAGAAAACCTCTGTCTCTCAGTCGCTCTGTGAACACGAGATTCATCGGTTGTGTGTCTACATAGTAAAGTTCGTGTGTGTCTACATAATAAAAATATATGCTGCCGGTGCTGAAGTGAACGCTAAACACGCAAATTATTACATGCCTGCTCAACATGAGGACGAGGCTCCACCGAGCAAGAAAATGTGCGAAAGGTGAGTATTATAATGCTGTTTCTTTTAGTTTATCCGTAGTAATTTTTTCCAAGATTCAGACATGTAAATTTTCTATGTCTTTTCAGCGTTCCACGACCTCCTGCTATGCATATCTTAGGACGCCGATACGCTTTGACTGCAACTGCTTATAAATATTTGAATATCGGAATCAGCGTAGGAGCTGAACCCGTCATAGACATAGTCATTGATGATAATCGTGGCAAACAACTGCTATTGCCGATCAAAACTTGGAATGCGCTAATGGGGCAACGTGTTGACATCCAAAGATTTCTGCAGGCCAATTTTTATAAGTCATCGTCTCCCCCGATGCGTATAGAAGAATTAACAATAACATCATGTAAGATGTACAACTCACAAATTGTGAAACTCACAATTTTTAATAATTGCTTATATGTAACACCAGATACGTTAAATGTATTATTTACATTTGAAAATTGCATCAATCACATGTATGGATGGTTATCAGAAAATATCTGTATAGTTAGTGTAAAATTCAAAACTTTTGTAAATATTCTTCGTGAATAGAAGAATTATATTACTAATATACATACTGCAACAAAAACAATACAAGAAAGCAGCGACTTTGACCGCGAGTCGCTCATTGATTGTGAATTGTTAGCATGCGCTGTGAAAAATATAATGTATGAAGCCGTGAACAAATAAATGATATTCTAAAACATAAAATTATGTATAAATTATTTCTATATGTCTCCCATTTTACTTCCCTTCCCCCTCCTCAGAACGATAAGGATAGTGCCCAGCACAAGTCGGTATGGTAATTTTAATAGTCGGTATGGTTAATTTCAAACTGGGAAGATGGATTTCTTGGAGACTATTGCATGGATCGATTTGAAATTTTTACAGTAGCTTCACGACAATATTCTCTTTGGAAGTACGTAGCCGTTTTTTGATTGAATGTAAATTTTTTTTTATAAACAATTTAATGGTCATTTTTAGGGCGAAAAATCGATTCATTTCTTAAAAAGTGCACCACTTCCATAAAAATTGATTAAAGAAAAAACCCCTACGTACTTCCAAAGCCAATTGTATATAGATTATAAATTTTTTTGAATTTTTGTTCCAGGACTCATACATGCCGAGAAATCCGTCATTCCGTATTTTCAAAAAAGCTGTTTTCGACGACGGGCTCTGTCGCCGCCATTTATATGAAAATGACAATAACAAATTTTCTTCGTACTTCAATATGTGTTAAGTAAACCCTCTGAAAAGAAATTCTATTCCGTTTGTCATATTCCCAAAATAAATTGTCAAATTTAGGTCTTTTCTTCTGCCTCTAGAGTGGTTTTACCCCTTAATATATTCGATGATGTGGAGAATAACACGCCGTTGAAAGCAGCTGTTAAAACACGCCTCAAGGAATCAAGCTCAAATCTCAAAAGAAGAGCGGAAGAACACATTAACAAACTGATGGAGGGGTCTGGATAGAATTCCTGCGAACATTGGAAAAGCTCAGTTTCCTTTCGTCATGCTAAGCTAAGCTACAACGGCAAATCATCTGCACCCAAACGTCTAGTCAGCGCTTCTAAATCAAGTAAGAGGAAAGCGACTCGAAGAAACATACAGGGGAAAAAACGGGGTAAGAAGCTAACGAAGAAGCCGGCGAAGAAGCATGCAGTGAAGAAAGCGGGAGAGGTCTTGCTAAATGTTGGGGAGTTATCAAGAAGCGTACCGTGTCAGACATTTTTTCCTAAACAGCAACAAACGCGTGCTTTCGAAGCATGTCCTTTCTTCATACGCATTCCAGTGAATATTTAAAGAGTGAACTCGATCTCCTCACCCTGCCGCCTATACAAACCAGCATTGAGAGTTCACATTGGATTCACTACAAGCCCGTGTCTTCTCTCACGGATGACGCGCCCATCGAATTCGTCGTACCCGGGCATGGAGAAGAATATATAGATCTTGCTCACACCATGCTGTCGCTACGCATACGAGTAGAAACGGAAACTGTAGCAGGAGCCGCCGTCGCAAAAGTAGGCCCAGTAAACCATATACTGCATTCGATGTTCAATCAAATCGACGTATATTTCAACCAAAAGCTCGTGTCTCCCCCAACAATGCTTACGCTTATCGCGCTTACATAGAGGCGTTATTAAATTATGCTTCACCAGTAAAAACCTCCCACCTGGCTTCGTGCCTGTGGTACAACGATACGGCGGGGAACATGGACGCTCTACCGGGAGCGACACCATGCAGTCACTGACTCGACAAGCGAGCCGCTTTTGTATAAGGAGGACGAACACTGGATCTCATCTTCACTGCGACGTCTTCAATCAAGATAAATTCTTGATCAACAGTGTCGAAGTGCGCATGAGGCTTGTTTGTTCGAAAGATTCCTTCTGTCTTATGGAGGAAAATACTATGTCACGGATACGCGTTTTAGATGCTACACTACTCATCAGAAGAGCTAAAATAAATTTGGAATCCATGTGGAATAATCCAGGCATATTACTCGCTCATACAAAAATGTTGGCCAGATCTACTGCTAAATACCCGCTCACGAGAGTCGAAGTTAAATCATTCACGATTCATAGTGGCGTCGTAGGAGAAACACTGGACAACATCATTCTTGGACAAATACCGAAGCGTATAATTGTCGATAACAAAGTTTTGTCGATAACAAAGTATTTAACGGCGCCCGCCATTTAAATCCGTTCAATTTCGAGCATTGTGGAATAAATTTCTTTTTACTGTATGTCGATGGAACTCAAATTTTTTTTTTTTTTTAGTAACGCAGGGGAAATCCATCATGGATACCCCCGACCCTTTGGGGGGTCGGGGGTTATGTCAGACTCCCGTATTCCCTCCCCGACAATGGAACTCAAATCCCTAGCAGGCCGTTACAGCCAAAATTCTCTGGTAACGAGATGCTCTACGCCGAGGTGTATCACACCCTTTTCTCGGGAACGGGTATTCACTTTTTGAATGAAATTAATTCTATATCCAGAGAATATTATCCTGCTGGTTATACTCTTTTCGCCTTCGATCTCACTCCTGATCTACTGGCTAATTGTGAAGCTCAATGGAACCTTGTGACACATGTAGTTTGCGAATGGAAGTACGGTTCGAAAAAGCTCTCACAGTAACGTTCAACTGCTTAGTTTATGCTGAATTTGGAAGCGTGATGGAAATAGATTCTTCTCGTCAAGTCATTGTAGATTATAGTGGTTAAAACGAATCCCCCACTTTTCTTTTCGACGTCATTCCCCTTCCAATGTAAAGATTTTCAACATCATTGTCCTCCTGAGTAAAAGTTTTGAAAAAATAGTCCAGTCGCTTTCGAGGCGCGAAAAATATAATTTCGGGGGGAAGCAGAATTACGTATATAGAGGGAGCATGGATGTCATTATCGAAGTATAATGTTTCCGCGATAGCAACGATGTCTACGTCCTCAAGGAGGTGGCTATTATCGGTATTAACGAGTCATTCGTCGGTCATTGGATCTTAGCTCCAGAGTATTCATTTGCGGAATTGTATCAAGGCGTATAAATCAAGGCGTATAAATAACTGGCTTTCGCGGAATTATCATGGTATCGAGTGGTACGACGGGGAGAGCAATCCGAAATATTTTTATCCGCGGTTGCGTGAAATTACGAGTCATATTGGTGACTTCATGACAAAGGATGAGGAAAAAGCGAGCTACTTGCAAAATTTACTAGCCCGAAACGTGTATAATCTGGAGAATACCTCGCTGATGTCCAGTGATCTTTCATCCAGCGAGCGTGTAGAAGATTGCTCATTCCACGCATTTAGAAAACATGGTCGTTATCACTGTGCATTACGCAACGCATACAAATTAAAACACTGGTACATCGAACAAAGCCAAATCAACATCGGGAAACGTGACAACGTCTATGCGACTCAGTGCTTGTCCTCTAAAATTGACGAGGAAGAGAGCGAAACTAGCTATTCCTACAAATCGGGAAGTGAAGAGCCATCGACTGAAGAAGAGGAAAACGAAACAAATATCAAGCTGGAACATTCAGTCGAACCGTCGAGAACTATAACAATCACGTTACTAGAGGTAAAGCGAAATTATATAAAATGAATTCGCTCGAAATTCAATATGCTCTGTAACATCTCAACGCCAGATACACAGGCGTCTATCCAGCCGACAGACTACCGAGAGTGTGGACGAGATCGACGGCAATAGTCGCTAATACGGACAATCACAACCGTCCAGGACAGCACTGGGTCGCATTCTACATCGATCAGAATGGAGCAGCCACGTACTTTGACAGCTACGGGATGCCGCCCTGGGACTCACGATTTCTCCTGCGTCTTAGAAGAAATTCCGCC